ATAGGACACCTGGCTCCAGTGAAGATTCACAGCTCTTACCTCCTTGTGGCAAACCCTTGAACTGTGCCCCATCTGTGCAGTAAGGAACACGGCCTCTGTCAGGGTTCTTGAGAGCATCCCAGAGTATCTGAATAAAAAGCCTCAGTTAATCAAGGGTCTCATGCTGTATAGAAGAGAAGGAAAAGTATGATATGGCCACCTGCCTGAGCTGTAGATTCTGCTGGAGAGATGGATTCTTAGTTCTGGGTTACCATCATCTTTTTTTCCTCAAGTGCTCTGTCCTTCGTAACTGTTTAACAGCAGCTGCAGGACTTTTCAGGGTGCTTTGAGCTCTAGTAATGTGCATCTTCCCAGTAAGCTTGTCAGAAAGATTGCACTTCAGTGGGTACATGTAAAATTGCTGTCAGTTTTGTTTTGTGACTGTTCACTTTCAAGAATAAGGCTACAAATGGGTTGGGGTGCTTTTTGGGGTGTACGTTGATTACACAGAACCTTCCTACTGCTTGGAAATTAACCCCTCTGTATCCCCTGTAGTGACCTATAGGCTGCTTTGTGAAGGATCATTTAGTTGTAAAAAGTAGTGTTTTACTGGGCATATAACAGCTGCTCAGCGCTTTGGGATCTCACTCTACTGTAAAGTGGCTATCCAGCACCTCTTATACACTGGGATGGTGAATGTTCTAGAGGTAAATCTGTTTGTGGTCCACATCATTACCCTTTTCAAATGCTTTTTTTTAATGCTAGAGTAATCTAACTGTTGTATCTCACTGCTAAAAGATAAGATAGGAAATTGGGAAGGCAGAGGAAATTCTAGGTGTTGAATGACTGCAGAGGTGAGGCTCATGCTTTAGAATTTGTAAGGTATTTAACCTTTAAGCATTCCTCATTTGATTGTAAGAAACCTTCTAGAAATAATGACTAGATTTGTGTCTCAAAGCGCTAAATTTAACTTGCATATTGCCGCCAGAGGGCAGCGTGTTCCACGAGCTGGCAGCGCAGAACCGGCTCTACTCTGATTTTTAAGTAAGGACAAACTCACCAAATCCGAGTTTTGAAAAGTATCAGTGATTCATTTACAGGTTTTTCCTGTTATGCTCAGCTTGTAGTTAAGTCCTCAAATACTTGCCACAGCACTAGGTTTCTGAGAAAGAGTAGTGATATTATTGACATCTGCCAAGTGAAAACTAAATGTAGCTGTTCTGTAACTCACATTCTGGTGCCCTTAGCTGGTGCATACAGCTTCCATAAGCCAGAGGTATCAGGAACTTACTCCCTTCTTGTGTTGTTTTTAGCAGTTGCAGAATTCACTTTTCCTGTTTCTGTCTCAAGGGTAGTAATCCTACATTACGTGTTTATTTTGTGTGATAAAGTAGATGTTGGAGTTGATTTAATTCTACCTTCTGTGGGTTTAGGACTAATTTATCTTAAATACAGCATGTATTTTTGTTTGGTATGTATGTACTGTTATATGTGCTGTTTGCTAGTTAAGGTTTTGGGGTTTGGGTTGCTTAGGGTATTTTTGGAGTGAGCATTGTGAGACTTCCTGATTCCCATGTGTATATAATCTAGGAAACTCCTTATACAAATCATCTAAGGTGGTATTATTATACTGGTATATATTGTGACTCAGAAACGTCCTTCATTAGCTTTGCAGTAGTTGCAGGTGTGACACAGCAACCAGATCACATCTTGCAAGACTCGCTTTCCCACTTGTACAGTAATGTAATTTTCCACAGCAGGGTATTACTATTATTTGAGAACCTAGTTAAAATGTGAACACAATTTAAAAACATGTTATATTAAAACCAAATCACTGAATAACTTGTATACGACCGTTTTTAATGCTGTGGTACAGATACATTCAGTAATGTCATACATAAGCATCGTTGATTTGTGATTTAGAAAGATTAAAACCGAGAGTTAAATATTATAACTATAGACATTTTCCTGAAGTTGTATTGTTTCTTTAATTTTCCTGAAATCTAGAATGCTTATAGTTGGAAGTCTAACATACTGGTTTTATAAAAGTCTCTCTTCTCCTTCTATGAGTAATGGAGGTAACTATGTACTAGGGCCTTGCCATCTTTCAGGCGACTGAGTATAAATCCACATTGAATCTGGTACTGCCTCTCCTGGGGTGGTGAAATAAACCTGGACCTGAGCTGATTTGGGGTGGAAGTGCTCAAGTATCTTTGTATAGTATTTTAGTAACAGCAGCATTAGGAGAATGCACAGTGCAACTGCAGTAGGCTTGGTAGGCAGCCAGCTGAGTCCATGTGGGCTTACTCATCGAGGTCTTGTGTTGTGTGGAAGTGGCTGAACTGCACCTGGATCCAAGTTGGCGTGTGAAGTGCTACAGCTGTGTTCTTGCAGCCCCCTGCACGTGGCCTAATAAATCCAAACTGGATTTGAGGGGAAACCGCTCTGTCTTTCTGCATCCGTGGCTCAGCTAATCTGCAAATAGGATAAACTGCCCATAAATAATTGAGAGTTTATAGTATACTGCATGTTCCAGATAAGAGTTAGAACATGCAGTATTAAAAGAGGTTTTTAGAAGTCGTCAATTATACAGAGTTCACCTTCTTGTCCTTGCTAATTGGGACACTAGCATGCAGTGCCAAAATCTGATACGGTATTCTTAAAGCGAATAGACTGCTGTTCTCAGTGAAGTTCTCAGGTGGTTATTTTGAGTCCACTTGCACTTTGAAGCATAAGCTAACTTAAGATACATGGATGCAAGAAACAAATGGAAGTCCCAAGGGATGTAAGTCTCTTTTTATGGCTGATTAGTAGTAACTTTTCAGAATCCCTACCAACTGAAGAAAGCATAAGGTAGACTTATTATGTGTTATACTCTTGTCAAACCATTGTTTTCAAATAGGAATTACTTATATGTGACCTAGTGCAGCCTGGCATTATGCCACACGGAATAACAGTACGTGCTGTTTTAACACTAATACGTGGTGCACCAGAATCACTGATGGGAATGTGGTAGTCAGATTATGTCTTTTCAAGACAATTGAAATGGTAGGCCTGAGATGAATGGAGCATTTGGGGTTTTCAGATCGGTAGTTTCTTAGGCAATATATTTAATATTAAAGTAGACTTTACTGAACTCAGTATTACTGTGGTTTTGCTTTGTACACTACATGTGTAGTAACTGTGTTGGGAGGGGGTGTTGACTGTTGTGTAATCAATCACACACTGTTTTACAGGGGGGTGTGGGGTGTGGTGTGAGGATAGGGGTGTTCCTGCATGATCTGTTCCTGAGCGTAGCTTCCCGAAGATATTTGATACTCAGTTGTGTTATTTGGAGTGTGTTAAAATCCTATTTTTGTTGGTCTAAAGTAATTCTTCCAGACCTAACAATTAATTTACAAGCGCCTGGGTGTACTTAGCCAAAATCGTCTAGAATTGTTACAAGTGCCAATTGTTAAGTGCCTGTTTACATGAAGTTATCATAACGCATTTTTAAGACTTGGAAGTTCTGTTTAATGTCCCACTGAAGCAGAAGCAAGGAAGCATCCTCACAGATTCCAGCTGTGTCAATTTCCAAAGGTGTACTGACTTCTACCTTTCAGTAGGCCCATGTATGAGGCCATTAGAATAATCGGTGTGTTATCAGAAACCCAGATAAGTTTGAATTCTTTTCCTTACATTGAAAACTTCAATTTCTGAGGAATTTGAATCAATTCGTAGTTGGCCGGAAGCCAGTTTTTCTCCTCAACTCTAACACGTGTTTGAAAAACGAACTCGCTTCCTAAGTGCCTTGTGAATCTGCAATGATTAATTCTTCTCATTATTTTGCTGCAAATTCTCATGACCCTCTGTGATGATTCGATCACCCACTTAGAGTTTATGCATATTCATATCTTTCCACTCCTGCTGCAGTCGTTCAAGTCTCCTTCACTGGCTGTGGTGTGTGCTTGGTGCAGTAATTGAGCTGCAGTAGATTGATTACTCTGGGGAGCTGTAAGGCCTTTAAAGGTGAAAACATATCAGTCCTGTTAATTAGGAAACAAAGCTCTGGTGGCAAGTTCAGCAGTCAAATGCTTCCAGTGTAGAAATGAGGAAAGGTATGATTTGTTCCTCTCCATGAACCCTGTTTACTTTTTTATATTTGAATTAGATCTGTATTTGCTGTAATGGGCCTGTGCAGAAGATAGGCTATCTTGTATGATTGCATGGTGTTGGTATTTTAAAGCAGAACGAACTATATGTTTGATATTGATTGCAATTATTAGCTGCTGTTAATCACCTCTTAAATTATACATTATTTTAGGCATTACTTGACCTATAAAGTTAAATGAGAGATGAAGAATGGAATAATTGATTGTAAACTTTAACCAAAAACATTTATAATGTTCACTTCCCCAGACCTGAATGTCAAAGTCTTTTCTCTGAATTAAAACAATAGATTTTTCAGAAACCATGATAAAACCTGGGGCCTCTCCTTTCTACTGTTAAGATGCCTATTGCCTATCATGTGCAAGATTAATTAAAGAGAATACGTTCTGAAAATTAGGTGAATATTAAGCGATAGCATAAGGTTTCATCCAGCAGACAGCATCCTTACATCATCATTGTAAGTACCCTGTGGTTTTATGTTGCTAAGCACTCTAATCTAGAGTGGCCTATTACAAAGATATTAAGGGTAGGGGAAACCATCTGCCACGCAATCTATCCATAAGGGTCAGACATAAATAATTTAAAAGTAATTTATATATCTTAAAAACCATTTTTTCCTGTAATTACTGGACAACAGATTGTAGAATACAGATGTTACGAAAATGCCACTGTTTTTGTAAACAGTATGTGATCCATTGCTACTCCAGGGTAGGTTTTAGGATGCCATTGTCATACCTGTTCTTGCTGAGGTCAGGAAGAAAAGTCTCACTGAAACAACTGCACATGAGATTGGATTTCAATTAGTTCATCTTGCACTGAAGGAGATCACATATTCATTGTGTTTGTGGGTTTTTTTCCCCCCTCTGTTTTAGGCATTTATTAACACTGCAAAGGAGATTTATGAGAAAATCCAGGAAGGAGTTTTTGACATTAATAATGAGGTAAGTTTTAGTACTCTGAACACTTCTGTTTTCTTTAAATGTACAATATTCACCTTCCCTAGAAGGCTGGACAGTAAAACATTTGTCTCTTTCATTTGGATGTCGAATTGTCTGCTATTGTGATAAAAATGGATTAAAATAAGTGACCCTATCCATCCATGAAGCATCACAAAATAATATAAATCCCCAAAAGAGAAGAAAATCCACTTTCATCCACTTCTCCATATGGTGTCATCTGTTTTCAAAGATAATTTTCCACTATGTAAATGGGGGACCATGTTGATATGCCAGATGCACTCCATGAGCTGTCCAGTGTAGGGGAGGGATTGCTTTGAGAGTTACATAAAAGACTTTTGAAATGTTCCTGGTTTAGGTGGCTGGATTCTGTAGGGAATAAAAGATTAGCTGGTTTGCCTGTGCACATTACTGAAATTACAGATTATCAAGGCTGTCTCTTCACTTGTTTGGGGTGGGGGTGGGGAGGTGGAGCAGGGCAGCGCTTCTCTAATGCAAGAGGCTAGAAAGACCTATAATGTTTCTCTTGAATTTTGACACCATGCTGTTGAAAATCTTGAGCAGTTAGGAGCGAGATTCATGGCTGTGGAAAAAAGAGATTCCAATTCAGTAGTAGTAAGCAGAATTACTGGGGTTGTATAGAAATGTTGGGATCATACAAGTTCTCTGGTAACCTTCATGTAAAAAACCCACACCACACAAAGTGTGAAGTGTTCAGTCCTTTCTGATGCACAAAGGTTTTTTCTTATTCTGCATGTCCCTAAATATTGTTGCTGAGGCGCTTAGTGAAACCACATGTGAAAATCCGTACCGCCACTCTCTGCTCCGTATCTGTTCTGTGAATAGGTGCATTCTCTGTCAGGGGCTGCGAGTCCGATGCTTCTGTTAAGCATTATAGTCCTTGCAGAATGGTTCAAAGAGTAGCTGAGGGAGCTGGCAGGACTCAAATAGCATCACCTCTTCCTGCTTGGTATATTTCAACAGCAGAAAACTTAAGACTATTAGAAGTATTGCTCTATGACTTCATAGAGGAATTAATGAGTAACTTCAGTAGCATGCAAACTATTTGCATTAGGAAACTTGTAGCTAACTAAGATTTAAATAGTAATCCTTCAAAGACACTAACTCTGACTGGAAAATTTGTGTGTATTATGTGGTGTTTTGGTGAAACGGGTTTTAAATTCAATTCAGTAGTGAAAACTTTAACATTTCCTTTAACGTTTTTCCTAAAGAAAATGCACTCACTGGTGGAATATAAATTGGACAGCAATCAGAGAGTCTGAAAAAGCATGCTCATTGTATCTGTCGAGTTTCATATAGTAGCTGACTGCTTTACTGTGCCTTATGGAGCTTTGATTGCAATATGCTGTCAAGAGCCAACAGTCCGTGCTACTGACTTGGCTTTACGCCAAGTCTGGCTCCTTGATTCCTCAAGAAGTTGCTATCAGCCCAGAGGGGGCAAAACCAATGAGCCATAGGGCATGCTTTTTATTAAAGAGGAGTCAAAGAGCGAAAAGAAACCACATCAGCTGCTGTCAATACTGAGCTAGTGCCAGAAACCCGAAGGCTACCACTGTTGCAGAACAACTGCCAAGCGCTATAAATCTGAGATTTACTGTGACGCAAAGTTTCCTTAAGAGCTTAATTTCTGAAGCTACTGTATTACTTTTCTCAAAGTGCTGTATTTTTAGGTAAAATCCACTTGAGGGAGTGAGGGTTAAGATATAAGTGTGATTTTGATGAATGAAAGAGCTACGCTGTGTGTGGGTTCTTGGCAAGTAGCCATGTCTTTCGGGATCACAGAAATTATTGATGACACAGAACACTCGTATGCCCTTAGCCTCTACAGCTGATTCAACACAGAAAGAAATGCTGTCTAGAGAGGAAAAGTTTTATATTAACCTATTAAACTAATGGAGGTTTTGGTGAGAGGGGAGAGGTTACACATTCCTAGCAAACGCTGTGTGTTTTTAAAGCCTCATTCCAAGTAGTAGTCAAACACAATTTTGGCCCTGTGTTTTTGTGTTTAGAGTTTAAGCTACAGAGTTTAACACAGATAAAATTTAAGTGAGAAGGAAAGCATCTTCCTTAAAATATTCAACTGCTAAGCGCATATTGCTAAAAGAAAATATATATAGATACATAAACTTTGCTCTATTTATTGAATACACTTAGTTGTGAATGCCCCATCCCTGGCAGTGTTCAGGGCCAGGTTGGACAGGGCTTGGAACAACCTGGTCTAGTGGAAAGTGTCCCTGCCCATGGCAAGGGGTTGGAACTAGACAAGCTTTAAGATCCCTTCCAAACCAAACTATTCTTTGATTCTATGATTACTAGAACTTACTATGTGGTCTAAAAAGAGAAAAAAAAAAATAAAGCTTTTTAAGTATATTAGTGTTCTAAAATAATTACACTGTGTATTATATTTCATTTCAGGCAAACGGCATAAAAATTGGCCCTCAACATGCTGCTACCAATGCAACGCTTGCAGGCAATCAGGGAGGACAACAAGCTGGTGGAGGCTGCTGTTGAGCCCGTTTTTACTTTCTAGCTGCCTGGATGGGGCCTACTAACTTGTTTGTTCACCCCTCCCTCCCCCCGCCCCGCTCGCCTCCACTTCAGTTCAACTGAGACATGAAACTTGTAAGTTGGTTTCCTGTTGCAGAAGACTTTATCCTTCAAATTCTTGTATAACTTTGAATAAATGGTTAATGTTCACTTAAAGACAGATTTTGGAGATTGTATTCATATCTATTTACATTTGATTTCTAGGTCAATTGATGTGATTATTTCTGTTAAATGTTGTCTTGTGCCCTTGACTACGAACTGAATTGTATTAAACACTACAAAGTCATCTGAGTATTTTAATCAGTTTGTGTAGTTAGGTTTCCCACTTCCTGCGGTTACCTAATGTTTAATATTGTAGAGCTGTCCTCAAGTTTTTTGTCAATTTTCAAGGCTATAAAGAGAAGCGGAAGGACTCTTTTAATTCTGTATTTATCACTTTCTGTATATATAGTTTAATAACCTGCTTGGGTGTACTTGCCAAGCTAGAATTCTTTAATGCATTTGCATAAATTCTATACTACTTAGAGCTTGAAAACTACAGAAGCATCGATAGAAATTGCTTGGACGCTAAATTTTAAGCCTTTTTGACATTGTTAGCATGTTCATCCTCCCCCTTCATTATCCTGAAGTCCAAGAGAAATGCTTAATGTATATTACTAGAGGCTACATACGTGCTATCTATTTTAATGCCAAATGTTTGCTGTTTGTCCACAATTTCCACAGCACCTCTTCAGAAATGGATTAGCTGTTTGCCTTAACAAATACTATAGGTAAAAACAGAGCATGAATGAAAAGTGGAGGAGCAGTTGATAAATTTAAAATGGCACATTATAAAAAAAGTTAATCTTTTCTTAATGTTTTTTTCTTGTTTACCATTAATTTCTAGGTATATTTTTCATGCAAGGACAGTTTTTTCAACCTAAATGTACAGTGGTTGTGTAAAGTTTTCTTTTAGTGGCAACTTGTAATCCTAAGTATATGGTAAGCATCTTGTCTATTGTGAAGAGGGTGTGAAAATAAAATCTGCCGGTTTGGAAATCTTGATGAAAATCAAACTAGAAACGCTTTGGTACTTATTATGGTGGTGGTTGGGGGCAGGGGTATGTCTTGCCTCACATGAAAGTATTGCAACAGTGCACAACAAAATCCTGTGTTTAAGTGTTTCTTTGTTGAAGTACAAAATATTCATGTCACTTTTCCTACAAATGAGGGTACGACTGAGTTTCCATCTCATCCTACCTAAATAAATCACAGCTAAAAGGGTGACACTAATGCTAGGCCATGCTTCATGTATTGGGGGGAGGGGGAAAGGGGACAGGGCAGGCAGGAAATAACTGCAAAACTTTTGTCTTACTGGACCAGTACTGACTGCAACCCAACCCTGGGGGACGTGGATCCTCATGTCATCCATTCTTGTCAGAACTTTAATGCTGAAAGTGAATAAACGTCAGCCTGACCGGTGTAACACAGCAGTGGTTCTGAGATTAAATCAAGTTTAAAAACCATGTGGAACCTTTTGTTTGTGTCTGGGGGGGGACAACCAATAAGGATTTATTGCTGGCTTCATCTCTTTCCTACACGTTTAGGAGCATTATAAGCAATGCAATGTAACTGTTTTCAACTATTTAAACCTTACTCCATTTATGTATTTTCAGTTGTTAACTGTTTATTGTATGAAGTTTGCATCTATAAAACACACTTTCATTTGAAGTACGAAAACTGTGTTGCGTGACAGTAAAACCATATGACTGATTTGCATCAATGCTGGGGGAAGACTGGCTTGTAGTAACTATATCTTCACAAGAACGAGTACTTGTTTGAATTAACTGCTCAAAGAGTTTTTTGCAACTGGCAGCCTTGCAGAACCGAATTGATTGAGATGAGATGGGAGAAAACCATTGAGCAGCCTCAGCTCCGTTACAAACGGGATGAAATTTCTCTTTGCTATAAAATTGCCCCCATTAAGGGAGTAGAGGAGAGGAATTTGTACCCTGTTCTGAGATGAACACAAATGCATCCTGTTTTAAGTGGTGATGATTTACAAAGCTAAAGCTTCTGACAGCCACTCAACTTCTGAAAGCATGGAAGATGTGTAGAGTTGACCAGGAATCTAGGACTATTGTAGCAGAGCCATCAGTGCTCTTTTTTCTTTTCTGGGGGGGTGGGGTGGGTGGGTGAGGAGCAGGGGGAATATGCTATGACTTAACTACAGCCACATGTGCATATTGACTTTTGGTCTTGCTGGTTGGTCTTGGCTTACAGGCCAGTCTTATACTGCATGTTATGTTAAGAATCTGGTACTCTCAAGGAAGAGCTAGAACAAAACTGAAGTTCCCTCACATTCTGGCTGGCCTTTTGCCTCAAGCTTTGCACATACATAATCCTTTTGTTGCCAGCTAGAAATCTGTGGGGGTTTTGTGGTTTTTTTGAGAACCCCAATGCTACTTTATCCTATTAGAATTTGAAAATTGCGTAGCACAGAACCTAGTAGGAGGGTTTATTTCTAGAGCATGTGCTTTGCAAGGTTATGCCTTCGCAGGTTTTGGCTCTACTTGTACGTGATTGCCTGATAACTTGCCGAGCTTTCATGTTTGAATTCCAGTTGGCTTTTATTGGTTGTATTTCCATCACCAAAGAATTAAAACGTTTAACTGTTCCCCAGCAACTTGTACAATTGTTAAATGTAATAATGTAAAACAACTGATACTGGAAAAATTGTACCAAGATGCCATGTCCCTGTACTCCCAGTTAAGCTAATGGCATAAACCATAGTTACTTACAGAAAAGTAAATTTGGAGTCAAAAATTCTCTAACCATGACTTAAGACTTGTCTCTCTTATTTCTACTTAAAATTAGAAGCTCTGGGAATTTTGGCAGTCATTTAAGAAAGATTAACACTCCTCCCTCAGTCTTACTACCTGTGAGTTTCTGTTGACTTCAGTCATTCTGATTTATTCTTGTGCAAGATCTGACTCTGCAGTGACTTAAGGTAAATGACTGCCAAAACACTTACTGGTAAGCTAACATAACAGGAGACTGGCTGAAGCCCTGGCAGGCAGCAAGTGCCCTGTTCCAGAGATGTCTCCTTGTCCCTGTGTTACACTTTATGTGACACTTGGTTCATTGTGTTGTTGACTAGTTGAAGAGCCTTCAACTGCAGTATCTATATATTGGCAGAGTTAGAAGGGCATAGATTATAGGCTAAATGGTATACATCTAAGTTGGAAAAGGTATTTCTGCTTTACAAGTTTGCCTGTGACTGCTAGAGCATTAAATCTGTGCTTGGGAAGAAAAGAGAAACTTACCAGGCTTGAGGTTACAGTTCAACTCAATCAGAGTGAAAAAAACCTTGTATTAATACAACTTGGAAATATCAAAAGATTATACTGGGCATTAAAAGTCTGCTTGTTTCTTAAAGTAATCATTCTAAATCAGGGCACTTGAACATGCCTACATTTTTCTCAGAGTTGTTACCAGTAGAGTACTGCTTTTGTAAATGCTGATGCCCAAGATGGTGATTCCTCTTGATGGGCTGTTCTTTTGACACTACTGATTGTCATAAAGCTTTCTTCTTAGGTGTTTTGTTTGGTGTCTTTGGTTTGGGGGGGTGGTGGGTTTGGGGTTTTTTCCCTCCTAAATCGAGTTTCTCTTGTGTATTATCTCCTTTTTGTCCAGTCTATTCTGGTATTCTTTCATTCAAACTGAATCTGGTGAGCAAAGCACTGCTCTCCATCTCTATTGCTCCACATCTTTTACATCTACACGTAAGGGAGTTTGCCCAGCATGGGGCATTTGCTTTGGGGATGGAAGTGTAGGGCACAGGGAGAGAGGCATGTACCGTGCACCATCCCTGGAGGTTTTCAAGGATGATCTGGATGGGGCTTTGAGCAACCTTGTCCAGTAGGAGGTGTCCCTGCTCATGGCAGGGGGGTTGGAACTAGATGATCTTGAAGTCCCTTCCAAACCATGCTGTGATTTTGCTGCATGATATAAAATCATGAGGGAGGTATTGCATGGGTTCTGTTATTTGTTACACATGGTGGATATTGTTTTGCATGTGTGGGGGGATATAATTTGCCTATTCCTCTTGCACTATTGCATGAGAGGAGATAAGGGAGAAGAAAGACTAACAGGTTTTATTTGGCTGTCTTAAGAAATTTGTTTGCTGGTATCATACATAAGCTTTGTATATACTTAATGTTCCGCCCCCTGGAATCTCTGGGTTTTCTTCTGCCACATTACTGCAGTGTAACTTTAGCAGGACACAGTGGTGATTTATTTTAATGTGGTACTGAAATCTCCATTTGTAAATAATCCTGACTGCTGCTGTGTAAGGAGCTGATGAAATGTCTTTACTGGGTCTGCTGTGTATGAAAGAAACCACAACATTAGGCAATAAAAACTACTAACAGAATGTTACGAAACCAAGACCATGACAAAAAAGCAGCACGTTGTGGATCTATCATTTTTATTCTTGGGACAGATTTTATTATTTTTGGAACTATTACAAGACTTATGTTAAATATTGTGGATGATAAGAGGAAACAGACTCTTGGCAAACATGGAAAACCAATTACAGCATATTACCCTATTCCCCTTCCAATAAAGGAGGGGCGAAGCTAAAAGTTTATACGTTGCTTCTTAGCAGCTGGAGGAGAGGAGGGAGGGAAATGTTCCTGCTTGAGGACAGAGGTTGCTGCTGTAGCAGCTGTACCGCGGGCAGTCCAAGCTGGAGAAGACAAAACCAGCGTGTGCTGCAGTCAGTTTTACCCCAGCCTAAAAAACCTTTGGCAGGGGAGTGATGATTAAAGAAATACTCTATACTATCAGGTATGCTATTCACGTAAACCTTTAAAACTTGTGTTTCATTGCAACCTTCAGAACTGCAAATCTCCTTAACAATAAAGATTTCCAAAACCTTGCTGGTTTTGACCAATAAACTGGAATGTGTATCTGATACTCAGACGCAGGACTTAACTACTACATCCTGTGGCTGTATGTGATGTAGAGGTGAAATGAGGTGTAGGGGAAACCTGCTCAAAAGTTCATGTGGAATCTAGCCTACTACACTGTACATACATTTGAATTCCTATCTCAAATCGCATTTCTAAAGTTGCCCATGGCAACATGAGTGTAGATGAATCAACGCATCAGCATGTTTTGGGGTTCTTTTCCCCCCCACAGCACAGTTAATGATTTTTAAAATTCCTTCTCTGAAGAATCAGATATAAATGTTTATATTAGGTAGAATGTTGGTGGTGGTCAGGACTGTGGTACATCTGGTGTGAATTATAGCAGGATCTAATTAGCCTTTCTTACCTAAGTGAAGCCCAGTACCATATACCAAACTAACTGAAAACTGATCATTCACTTTTCCTAGACTTAGACATAAAATAGTGGGAGGCAGGAAGACCCATGAGAGGACAGCTCAAAGGAACCAAGGTATGATTCTAACAATTGTCATTATAACATTGCCCAAGTTAAAAAGAGTCAAGCAGAGAGCATGTTTTCAGATTATAGCTTAGGAAAACATGTTCAGATGCGGGAAATGTCTGCAATAACGTTACTTACAAAACAGTTACATAAGAAGGGTGCTCAGGAAGACAACCCATGGGGTTGCTTGTGGTCACTTGTGAAGATGATGCAGGGAGAAGCTGTCAGTTTAATATGCATGACCCAGCAGCTGAGCACCACCACCTGTGTCCAGGGCTGGTGCTGCTGCGTGAGGACCCCAGCACTGGGCAGGTGTGATGGAGCAACTTTGAACTTGGGCACCCTGTTGCCATCGGTAATGCTAAGACCAGAGCTGAGGCACTGTCCAGAGTCTGAGGACAGGTACAAGTGGCTTTAGGAGCAGAGGGCATGGGGAAAGTTAACTTACCAAGTGCTGGATTAAAAAAATACTTGAATCCACATACAACCCATGTTTGGGATTCTTGTATAGAGATGTCTCTAACGTAGTGGGAAGCAGGTTTTTTTGTTTCTTCTATCACATTTTAATTTGTGAGGATGCTAGGACTTACTTCACTCATGGGTTGCTGGTTAGGTTCATGTC